CCCTGTTCCAACCATCTACCCCTGTTTCAACCATCTACCCCTGTTTCAACCATCTACCCCTGTTTCAACCATCTACCCCTGTTTTAACACCTGTTTCAACCATCTACCCCTGTTTCAACCATCTACCCCTGTTTCAACCATCTACCCCTGTTCCAACCATCTACCCCTGTTTTAACACCTGTTTCAACCATCTACCCCTGTTTCAACCATCTACCCCTGTTTCAACCATCTACCCCTGTTTTAACCCCTGTTTCAACCGTCTACCCCTGTTCCAACCATCTACCCCTGTTTCAACCATCTACCCCTGTTCCAACCATCTACCCCTGTTCCAACCATCTACCCCTGTTTCAACCATCTACCCCTGTTTCAACCATCTACCCCTGTTTCAACCATCTACCCCTGTTTTAACCCCTGTTCCAACCATCTACCTCTGTTCCAACCATCTACCCCTGCTTCAACCATCTACCCCTGTTTCAACCATCTACCCCTGTTCCAACCATCTACCCCTGTTCCAACCATCTACCCCTGTTCCAACCATCTACCCCTGTTCCAACCATCTACCCCTGCTTCAACCATCTACCCCTGTTTTAACCCCTGTTTCAACCGTCTACCCCTGTTCCAACCATCTACCCCTGTTTCAACCATCTACCCCTGTTCCAACCATCTACCCCTGTTCCAACCATCTACCCCTGTTTCAACCATCTACCCCTGTTTCAACCATCTACCCCTGTTTCAACCATCTACCCCTGTTTCAACCATCTACCCCTGTTCCAACCATCTACCCCTGTTTCAACCATCTACCCCTGTTTTAACACCTGTTTCAACCATCTACCCCTGTTTCAACCATCTACCCCTGTTTCAAGCATCTACCCCTGTTTTAACCCCTGTTTCAACCGTCTACCCCTGTTCCAACCATCTACCCCTGTTTCAACCATCTACCCCTGTTCCAACCCTCTACCCCTGTTCCAACCATCTACCCCTGTTTCAACCATCTACCCCTGTTTCAACCATCTACCCCTGTTTCAAGCATCTACCCCTGTTTTAACCCCTGTTTCAACCGTCTACCCCTGTTCCAACCATCTACCCCTGTTCCAACCCTCTACCCCTGTTCCAACCATCTACCCCTGCTTCAACCATCTACCCCTGTTTCAACTATCTACCCCTGTTCCAACCATCTACCTCTGTTTCAACGATCTACCCCTGTTCCAACCATCTACCCCTGTTCCAACCATCTACCCCTGTTCCAACCATCTACCCCTGTTTCAACCATCTACCCCTGTTTCAACCATCTACCCCTGTTTCAACCATCTACCCCTGTTCCAACCATCTACGCCTGTTCCAACCATCTACCCCTGTTCCAACCATCTACCCCTGTTTCAACCATCTACCCCTGTTTCAACCATCTACCCCTGTTTCAAGCATCTACCCCTGTTTTAACCCCTGTTTCAACCATCTACCCCTGTTCCAACCATCTACCCCTGTTCCAACCATCTACCCCTGTTTCAACCATCTACCCCTGTTTCAAGCATCTACCCCTGTTTTAACCCCTGTTTCAACCGTCTACCCCTGTTCCAACCATCTACCCCTGTTTCAACCATCTACCCCTGTTCCAACCATCTACCCCTGTTCCAACCATCTACCCCTGTTCCAACCATCTACCGCTGTTCCAACCATCTACCCCTGTTTCAACCATCTACCCCTGTTCCAACCATCTACCCCTGTTTCAACCATCTACCCCTGTTTCAACCATCTACCCCTGTTTCAACCATCTACCCCTGTTCCAACCATCTACCCCTGTTCCAACCATCTACCCCTGTTCCAACCATCTACCCCTGTTCCAACCATCTACCGCTGTTCCAACCATCTACCCCTGTTCCAACCATCTACCCCTGTTCCAACCATCTACCCCTGTTCCAACCATCTACCCCTGTTCCAACCATCTACCCCTGTTTCAACCATCTACCCCTGTTCCAACTATCTACCCCTGTTTCAACCATCTACCCCTGTTTCAACCATCTACCCCTGTTTCAACCACCCCCTACAGGTGGGCAGAATGGAGGTCACCCACGTTCTGTGCCTTGTGAAGGGCTGCCACCTCGTGCCCCTAACTCCTGTCCCTCGCCCTCCCCAACCAATGTCCCCTCTCTTGACCGCCTGGCCCTGCCAACCCCCCAACCCCCATTCGCGTTCGTTCCCCCCCCCGGCAGGTAGGCAGGGGCAGCATGCAGGTGACTCGTCAAGGCCTGCCACCTCGTGGCCCTGCCTACCCTGCCACCTGTGCCTCGCTCTTTCTCCCTTACCACGCATAATCAACGACCTTTCCCTCAACCACCTGTTGCGTCAACCACCTGTTGCGTCAACCACCTGTTGCGTCAACCACCTGTTGCGTCAACCACCTGTTGCGTCAACCACCTGTTGCGTCAACCACCTGTTGCGTCGACCACCTGTTGCGTCAACCACCTGTTGCGTCAACCACCTGTTGCGTCAACCACCTGTTGCGTCAACCACCTGTTGCGTCAACCACCTGTTGCGACAACCACCTGTTGCGACAACCACCTGTTGCGTCAACCACCTTTTGCGTCAACTACCTGTTGCGTCAACCACCTGTTGCGTCAACCACCTGTTGCGTCAACCACCTGTTGCGTCAACCACCTGTTGCGTCAACCACCTGTTGCGTCAACCACCTGTTGCGTCAACCACCTGTTGCGTCAACCACCTGTTGCGTCAACCACCTGTTGCGTCAACCACCTGTTGCGTCAACCACCTGTTGCGTCAACCACCTGTTGCGACAACCACCTGTTGCGACAACCACCTGTTGCGTCAACCACCTTTTGCGTCAACCACCTGTTGCGTCAACCACCTGTTGCGTCAACCACCTGTTGCGTCAACCACCTGTTGCGTCAACCACCTGTTGCGTCAACCACCTGTTGCGTCAACCACCTGTTGCGTCAACCACCTGTTGCGTCAACCACCTGTTGCGTCAACCACCTGTTGCGTCAACCACCTGTCCCTGCCCCCCATCCCCCCCCCCCACCACCCCCCCACCCCCCCCCCTCCCACCTCCCCCCCTCCCCCCCCACCCCACATCCGCGTCTCGCCCCTGGCAGGTGGGCAGGGGCAGAATGGAAGTGACTCACGTGCTGTGCCTCGTCAAGGGCTGCCACCTCGTGCCTGACGCTGGTGAGTGGGGCGCACCTGAGGGCGCTGGTGAGTGAGAGGGGGGAAGGGAGGGGAGGGCAGGGTTCCCCCGGGGCGACTGGGCTGCACAGGGCACACCTTTCCCTCCTCGTGCGTGATGCTGGTTATGCGCACCATGGATGGAGTGATGGGAACAGGGTAGGAGAGGGAGGAATTCGAGGGTTGCTTGGGGGTTGGGTTGGAGAGGTGGGGTGGGGGAAGGAAATAGGCGAACGAGGAAATGGGGTGTACTCAAGTGGTGTGCATCGTTGCATTCTGGATAGCAACTGAAATGAGTCCACCCACTGCCCCCTTCCTCTCATGCAGCACCAGGAGGGCTATCCAAGTCGAGTCAGGGGCGCATCAGCCTGGCGAATGTTTTTAAAGTCACCTCAAAAGTCCACCCGCTGCCCCCTTCCTCTCCTGCAGCACCAGGCGGGCAGTTCAAGGCGAGTCAGGGGCACATCGGCCTGGCGAACGTGTTTGAGTTGAGTCACCTCAAAAGTCAAAAGTTCTGCTCTTCCTGCGAGGAGCTCAATAACGGGGACGGCTCTTCGGGGAAGTGTTCGCAATGCAGGTTGCTGCTGTGAGTGTTACCGACTTGGTCGCTATGCGCGGAGCAAGCTGTTCCACTCCGCCGTCTAAGCAGCCGCGGCGTCGCACGGTCACACGGGGCTCGCACTTCCCGCCGGCTTCCCGCCCGAGGTGTCGCAGAGTCTGCATCGCCAGCGTCGCACGGCCGACGAGATGTTTGCGACGTAAGCTGGTGGTTCGCGAGAGCAGCGGCGAGGGGTGGTTTGTGGCGACAGCGAGAGAGCGACGCTCCGAGGAGCGTCGAGAACGAGCAACGGTGAAAAGACTCTCCTGCGTCACTGGAACGCCGTTGGCTGCGGAAAAACAACGCCGCGATGTTCGATGGCGAGGCGGCGCGCGGCTGAGAACGGGAAGAGCGGCGGCGGGGAGTGCATGGTGGCGGAGACGAAAATGCAGCCTGCTCTTATCGAGGAAGGAGGATTTTGAGAGAAGGGGATCTGGGCCGAAAATGTGGACAAGAAAATCGAAGAACGCGCTACTACGGGTATAGCAGCCATGGTGTGACCGCTGGGAGGCAGGGTGAAGAGAATATGACTGAAGTCCAAGAAACGGCTAATGAGAAGGGCAGCAAGGATGCTATTGTTATGAATGTGAGAGTTGCACAATTGAACTGAAATGTACTTGAACTAGAAACTACGGAAATACCCTATGCCAGTCTAAAACGAGGCTACGAGGTGGCCGAGGACCTCGGGTGAACGAGGTTCGGAAAGGTAGGAGAAGGTACGTTGGCGACTCGGAAGTGGTTCGGGGCGAGGAAGCCCAAGACCTGAATTACTCAACGGAAGTCAACGCTAAAAACTAGGTTCGGGAGGCAGGCACGGAGAGGTTCGGTTGGGTTGCGAGAGACTTTCACTCGCGAAACCAATTTGCGACAAAAGTTTCTCGCTTCCCATGATGGGTGGGGTCCTTCCCACAACCAGAAAACCGCGTCCATACCAAACTGTGCACAGTTTGAGATAGCACGCAGGGTATTAGGCATAGAGCATACCTGTAGACAGGGCAGGGCGTCGGCGTTCACTCAAAAGGGATCAGATGCGCCTTAGGATGTGGGTGGCGCCGATTTCGGTGATGACGCGCAAAGCTAGTGTTCGCTAGGTAAAGATTTTTGTGTCGAAATGCAGGTTATTGTGCAACTACTGCGTAGCGTAAACTCGCGGCGAAAATCGAATCGCACCTGTTCGCCCAAGCGTGACAATCCCCTCGCCCTCGCCTTCCTTTCCCTAGGTCCCATGCGTCCGCTCTCTGTCGCCGGCGTCGTCGCCATCGCTTCCGCAGCTCGTCGCGTTCGCGACCCCAGCCCATCGCCTTCGATCCGCCCGTCGCCTTCACTTCCCCCCCGTCGCCCCTACTCCCCCCCCTCCCCCCGCTCCGTTGCCTTCATTTCCCCCTCCCGTCGCCTTCACTTCCCCCTCCCGTCGCCTTCACTTCCCCCTCTCGTCGCCTTCACTTCCCCCTCTCGTCGCCTTCACTTCCCCCCCTCCCGTCGCCTTCACTTCCCCCCCGGAGTGTTCGCCTTCACTTCCCCCCCTCCCGTCGCCTTCACTTCCCCCCCTCCCGTCGCCTTCACTTCCCCCCCTCCCGTCGCCTTCTCTTCCCCCCCTCCCGTCGCCTTCTCTTCCCCTTCCCGTCGCCTTCACTTCCCCTTCCCGTCGCCTTCTCTTCCCCTTCCCGTCGCCTTCTCTTCCCCTTCCCGTCGCCTTCTCTTCCCCTTCCCGTCGCCTTCTCTTCCCCTTCCCGTCGCCTTCTCTTCCCCTTCCCGTCGCCTTCTCTTCCCCTTCCCGTCGCCTTCTCTTCCCCTTCCCGTCGCCTTCTCTTCCCCTTCCCGTCGCCTTCTCTTCCCCTTCCCGTCGCCTTCTCTTCCCCTTCCCGCCGCCTTCTCTTCCCCTTCCCGTCGCCTTCTCTTCCCCTTCCCGTCGCCTTCTCTTCCCCTTCCCGTCGCCTTCTCTTCCCCTTCCCGCCGCCTTCTCTTCCCCTTCCCGTCGCCTTCTCTTCCCCTTCCCGTCGCCTTCTCTTCCCCTTCCCGTCGCCTTCTCTTCCCCCTCCCGTCGCCTTCAATTCCCCCTTCCGTCGCCTTCACTTCTCCCCCCCGATGCCTTCAATTCCCCCTCCGGTCGCCTTCCCCGCATGCCGCACTCGCTTTCCCGCCCTTCACACTTGCTTCCCCACCCGTCGCCTTCACTTCCCCTTCCATTGCCTTTCGCTCTCTCCTGCTCACTCTCCCTGCTCACTCTCTTTCCCACTGCTCACTCTCTTCCCCCCTGCCCACTCTTTTCCCCACCCTTCACTCTCTCCTCTCCTGTTCACCCCCTGTTCTCACCCCTCTTCCCCCCTTCACTCAACCGTTCCCCCCTGCTCAACCTCTTTCCCTCTGCTCACTCTCTTCCCCCCTGCTCTCTCTCTTTAACCCGGCTCACACTCTCCCCCCCCCCTCCCCCCACTCTCTTTCCCCCTGCTCACTCGCTTCCCCCCTCCTCAATCTCTTTCCCCTGCTCATTCTCTTTTTCTCTGCTCACTCCCCTTGTGCTCACCCCACTTTCCCCATTTCTCACCCATTTTCGCCTTCACGCTCTCTTACCCCCTCTGCTCGCCCCTGTTTTCCTGGCTCACTCCTATACTCACTCTCTCCTCCCCTGCTCACTCTCTTCCCCCCTGCTCACTCTCTTTCCCCTTGCTTACTTTCTTCCCCCCCTACTCACCTTCTTTCCCCCTGTTGTCACCCCTCTTTCCCCCTTTCTCACCCATTTCCCCCCTGCTCGGTCTGTTTCCCCCTGTGCTCGTTCCTAAATTCCCCTGCTCACTCCCTTACCCCCTGTATTCACCCATCGTTCCTATTTCCTCTTGTTCACTCTCTCCCCCTCTGCTCTCTCTCTTTCCCCCTGTACTCACCCATTTTTCCACCTTGTTTACTCTCTATTCCCCTTCGTTCAACCCTTTTTCCCCCCCAAGTCCTCTCATTTCCCCTGTTCACATCCCTCCTTAGCCCCATGCTTACTGGCTATCCCCATGTTCACGTCCTTGCTAAGGTAAGCCTACAGTATAAATCTGCAATTCCATGCAGCTAGCTTTTTTAAGTAATTGTAGTAGCTACATTCTGTATAATTCTTCCATTATACATGTTTTAAGAATTTTTCCAGTGAATGTAAATGTATAATTCTATAACACTATATATTGTTCTTTTTATCTACGATAACACCTTTTTTTACACATTCTGATTAAATTTTGCTGTGATTTGTTTTATTTCGGTGCACGTAAGTACCTGTCAATTTCACCTAAACATGAGCTTCTCATTCTGTACAATATCATCATATATAAACCCGCAGCTTTTCGTAACGAGTCATTCACTCCGCTCACCAGGTTCACTGCTTTTGGCGTAGGGATTGTTTGCCTTGCAAATTTTCCATCATCGCGCCTTTCCTCGCAACATTCCCTTTCCCTCCATCGCCCCGCTCCCCCACTCAGCAAAAGCCCATTGCCAAGCCACTGATGGATCTGTTGCAAGAACGTTCTTTTACGAAAATCCTCTTCTTCTTCTCAACCACGCACACGTGACGGCGTGATTCGTGCCGCTGCAACCGCGCTATCGCTGGTGCTGATTTCCGTATGCAGCGAGCCTCGCGCGTAGCAGCAAGCGCCAGTTGTGGAATCGGCTTGAAGACACCTGTTTGTCTGTCTGTACTTCATTTATGGAATTCCTCTTCCCTCGTGTCACGCCGTCCATCAGGCCAAGGTTGCTGAATTCGGACTTGTGACAGTGGAGGAGGGTATGAGCACGGGGACCACTCGAGTCATGGGAACACCAGGCTATGTGGATCCCATCTACACGCAGAGGTCAAAGGCAACCAGGGCCAGTGATGTTTACAGGTGAACTTGGTTAAGAAAACGTTGATTAAACTGAACTCGGATCAAGCGCCCCATGCATCTCATGTTTGTGGGCACTTGCTTCTCATGTTTGTGGGCACTTGCTTCTCATGTTTGTGGGCACTTGCTTCTCATGTTTGTGGGCACTTGCTTCTCATGTTTGTGGGCACTTGCTTCTCATGTTTGTGGGCACTTGCTTCTCATGTTTGTGGGCACTTGCTTCTCATGTTTGTGGGCACTTGCTTCTCATGTTTGTGGGCACTTGCTTCTCATGTTTGTGGGCACTTGCTTCTCATGTTTGTGGGCACTTGCTTCTCATGTTTGTGGGCACTTGCTTCTCATGTTTGTGGGCACTTGCTTCTCATGTTTGTGGGCACTTGCTTCTCATGTTTGTGGGCACTTGCTTCTCATGTTTGTGGGCACTTGCTTCTCATGTTTGTGGGCACTTGCTTCTCATGTTTGTGGGCACTTGCTTCTCATGTTTGTGGGCACTTGCTTCTCATGTTTGTGGGCACTTGCTTCTCATGTTTGTGGGCACTTGCTTCTCATGTTTGTGGGCACTTGCTTCTCATGTTTGTGGGCACTTGCTTCTCATGTTTGTGGGCACTTGCTTCTCATGTTTGTGGGCACTTGCTTCTCATGTTTGTGGGCACTTGCTTCTCATGTTTGTGGGCACTTGCTTCTCATGTTTGTGGGCACTTGCTTCTCATGTTTGTGGGCACTTGCTTCTCATGTTTGTGGGCACTTGCTTCTCATGTTTGTGGGCACTTGCTTCTCATGTTTGTGGGCACTTGCTTCTCATGTTTGTGGGCACTTGCTTCTCATGTTTGTGGGCACTTGCTTCTCATGTTTGTGGGCACTTGCTTCTCATGTTTGTGGGCACTTGCTTCTCATGTTTGTGGGCACTTGCTTCTCATGTTTGTGGGCACTTGCTTCTCATGTTTGTGGGCACTTGCTTCTCATGTTTGTGGGCACTTGCTTCTCATGTTTGTGGGCACTTGCTTCTCATGTTTGTGGGCACTTGCTTCTCATGTTTGTGGGCACTTGCTTCTCATGTTTGTGGGCACTTGCTTCTCATGTTTGTGGGCACTTGCTTCTCATGTTTGTGGGCACTTGCTTCTCATGTTTGTGGGCACTTGCTTCTCATGTTTGTGGGCACTTGCTTCTCATGTTTGTGGGCACTTGCTTCTCATGTTTGTGGGCACTTGCTTCTCATGTTTGTGGGCACTTGCTTCTCATGTTTGTGGGCACTTGCTTCTCATGTTTGTGGGCACTTGCTTCTCATGTTTGTGGGCACTTGCTTCTCATGTTTGTGGGCACTTGCTTCTCATGTTTGTGGGCACTTGCTTCTCATGTTTTGTGGCACTTGCTTCTCATGTTTGTGGGCACTTGCTTCTCATGTTTGTGGGCACTTGCTTCTCATGTTTGTGGGCACTTGCTTCTCATGTTTGTGGGCACTTGCTTCTCATGTTTGTGGGCACTTGCTTCTCATGTTTGTGGGCACTTGCTTCTCATGTTTGTGGGCACTTGCTTCTCATGTTTGTGTGCACTTGACTCTCATGTTTGCACACTGATTCTGCAAATGGGTATTGGTCAGGTGCTTCATCCATCATGCATTGATCTTGCGCTTATGCCACTGCACCTTCATCATGCTCTATCTCCTAACACATGAACCATGGCCACCGTATATTGTACATGCGATAACCACCCCAGATTTTATCAACCATCCCACCGTCGGTGCAGCTTCGGTGTGCTCATGCTTGTGGTGCTCACTTTACGAAGGCCGTTGAGTATTGTTGACGGAGAGAGCGTACACATTCTGGCATGGGTAAGCCCCACCGCCGCGATTGGCATGCACATGCCATGGCTGTTACATATGAAATGAATGATGCACATTGCACCAACATGGCACAAGCAGCACTATTGCACAAAGTGGCACTATTGCGCATGGCGCATTGGCGATCATAATATGAGAGGCGAAATTACAGATGCTGAGACTTGAACCTACAACCTCTAAGAATAAAGGTGAGAAGATTCCCACTGGGAGCACACGGCGTGAGCATTGTACATGGCACCAATACTGCACATGGCATCAGCATTACACGAGCCACCACTATTGCTCATGGCACCAATATTGCATTCAACATTGCCAATTTCAAAGTAGCGCTGGTTCACCCAATCAAAGAAATGCAAGCAGGAAGCGTTGTATTGTGTCTTTGTAAAATCTTGCTTACAACCTGCTGCCTTCCCCGCCTTTTTGAATACACCAGGTGGAGGCTTGCCTTTCTTCTGGCACCCCAGACCGCCTCAAGGAACTGCTGATGAGCATGGACGCCCCAGACGATGCTGTGCTGCGCCTGGCCCAGCTGGCTCTCAGCTGTACCGTGCAGCGCATTGCAAGCCGACCCACCATGGCAGAAATTTCCAATGAGTTGCAGGGAATCAGGAACGAGGTGGTGGGGAAAGAGGAGCTTAGTGCTGCGGTTAAAGTGGATGCGCTAGTCAAGGAGTTGAGAGGGGCATCTCCAATGGATGCTCACTTGAGTGAGATCAACGAACTCCTGCACGGGGATTCCTTTGACGATCAGTGATTCACTTAGCATCTACTCAGGCAGGTTTCAAGACTGGTGCTAAGAATGGTTGTTTCTCATTTTGTATATGAGGGGTTTCTTTTTAGGTATGAGGTGTTTCATTCTGGATGTGATGTGTTTCATCCTGGATTTTCCAGTGGTGATGCAGCAGATGGTGCGGGAAAAAATGGCTTTGTGGCATTATCGTTTGCTAATAATAAAGACATTATTTTATCGTGCAAAACATGTATGATATATTATTCAGAATGGATAGGATTATATCAATATGTGTGTTGAAACCTCAGGTTTCATTCCGTATGGATGGGGCTCGCCGACTCTGAGCTGACGTTTTGCACATCTCAGGTTTTGTTGCAGCTTTCAGGTCTGGTGCTAAGAAGTTGGTCGAGTATCATTCTGGATACAAGGCGTTGTTTATGCGGAGGTGATGCAGCAGATGGTGTGGTAAAAGAAGGGAGCGTATGACAATCTACTTGCGTTAACAACTGTTTGCCTACCTGTATGGATGAAGCTAGCCAAAGCTGACTATTTCAACACGTCTCAGTTTTTTTTTGTAGACTTGGGCATAGCCGAACCTAGTTTGGCCAAACTGGTAGTGAGTCAATCCGAGCCAAATATATCCACAATGGCATGACCTGACCCAACTTCAATGAGAGTACAGACGTTCGGTTCGGTTAGAGCGTGTTCCTACGGACCCTTATCAGGCTACCCCTTGTCAGAATTGGATCAAACACCAAAACTTCGGATTCATCTTGTTTCGTATTAGTTTTCTTGCTCGTTTCTGAAGTGCGCGACAAAATGTGTTGGGTGACGTGGCACTGCGCAACACTCCCGAAAGGTTGCAAAGGAACAAAGTTCCCGAGTTCAGACAGAATCCAGGCAGTTGAAACGTGTGTTTGGTGAAAATTGCTTTGTATGCTTCATACCCGACAAAACAACTCATGGGAAAAAATTCGGGCGATTGCCTAAGTATTGCTCACTGAAACAGCACGTGTGAAAGATTTCGCGCGATTGCCTGACAAGGATCGCTGAAACAGCATGTGTCAAAGATTTTGCACGACCAATTCATCGAACAGCAATGTACTTTTTCAAGTCTGAAAAGCGGCGTTTATAACGAAATCGCTCTCATGGACCAGTCTGACAAGGGGTTAGCCTGATGGGGGTCCGTAGGAACACGCTCTTAGTCTTATTTTGCTGAGGTGCTCTAAATTTCTAGTGCAGCAATATATACCCATTTCACTATAAATACAAAATACTAGTTCTAGTGCATGATTGATCGCTAGGATTATTTGGTTAAGTCACCACTGGTTTGGCAGTTTTGAAACTTCGGGGCTATCAGTGGTCCTAGAAAACATTCCACTCACTAACTAGAATACCCAAACCAGTAAAACTGGTCAGTTTACCCAACCGAGTAAAACTGGTCATAAGGTGAATGTCAAATTCCCCGCTTGGCCAGTTTCGCAACTAGAACCTAACTGGTTTGGCACAACAAATTGACCAGCTTGACTCGGTTCAACAACTGACCAGTTTGACT